GCGGATATTGTAATAATAAAATATAAAAAAAAAAACAACCTTCTCAAAGGCATCCAGGGGACACCCAAAAACGTATCGTTTATTATCCGCTTGAAAATTCATCTGAAATCACGAAATCGATTTTCCACATCCTTATATAGCTTTCCATATACTACGTATAATACTTCGTATATAGTAAGTATACGGAAAAGTAGAAATCAAATCCCTGTATGAATTTTGGTCACTTATTTAATTTATTCGTATTCTGCTTGTTGGGAATAGAAAACGACCATATCACGTCATACAGTTTCAAACAAGATGTCTGCAATAGTAATAGTATGTTGTTCAACGAGAGCATAATAATGGCAATTATTCACGAGCTGATGTTTATGACACTCGCTCCTACGTCACTCGTGTCGTAATTTCTACAAGTGAATAATAGCCATTATCCGCGAATGGACGACTAAACTTTCTGAACGACCTTCAGATTTTCAGAATAGATTTTGAACTTTTTTTTGTTATTTACTGAATTAGCTGTTTAGCTACCAACCATCCGCTTTAAGATCCCGTCCATAGCAACGGCTTCTAAATGCTCGAGAGTTCATAACACATATTTTAGCGGACTCTCAAGTTAAGATATTACCACGGTTAATAAATCTTTGGATAAATATATCCCTTTTGTCACACTTGTGCTTTGTCCTATTGGTCCCATTTGGCCCTCTTATCCGTTTGCCCCCCTGGTTCATTTTTTCTTCTTGTCCCCTTGCCCCATTTGTCCAATTGTCCCCATGCCCCACTTTGTTCCCCTATCCCATTTGTCCCCTTATCTCATTTTGTTTCATTTTCCCATTTTGTCCCCTTGTCCCGATTTGTGTCCTCTTTTTCCATTTGTCCTCTTGTCTCCTTGTCCCATTTGTCCCCTTGTTCCACTTTGTCTACTTGTCCAATTTTGTCCCCATTGTGAAAGGAGCGTATCGAAATTTCCGTGGTCAGGCGGAAGAGTGGGTCTAATAGTCCGAGTCTCGCCACATAAAATAAGGCATCAATTCAATTCAGAACGAAATTCACTCTATACGATGACATAAACAACAAATTACTTTATTCTTCTGTTTCTTTCAAAAATTACAAAAAATTAATTATTTTACTTATCTCTCACGTTGAAATATTTACATTAGCGTCAATTTATTTACATAAATATATTTATGAGCACATGTGCTTTAAATAATGTCAGATAATATTTGTCAAAAACTCAAACGTTTTCCGTGAAAATGAGCTCAAAATTTCGCATTTCACAAACGCTTAAGTTTTTCAAAAACTCAATTGTTTTCTGTGAAAAGAGGTTCAAATTTCGAATTTACACTAACGCTTAAATGCCATTTTCTTAAAAACGACTCCAAATTTTTCAAAGAAAACTTCCATCCGCGCATTCCTTCCATCCGCTTCCATCCCCTTCCATCCGCTTCCTTCCGCGGTCTTAGGTCGAGGTTTTATTGTTCTTTAATATTCTTAAAAATTATATTTCCGTTCTACCATTAGGAAGCCGAACAATTAAAAAAATAATATTAAAAAATGTAGTTTGGGTGGCGATAGATGTTAGCTGGCAAGGGTATGTGGCAAGTCAGAATACCTGGCCGAGAACAATGGAAATAGAAAACTAATACGGGAAAGTCTGTACCATTGTGTAGCACTAAAATCACAGTCTCAACTTCAAATACCTCTCCTGTAAAATTTACTTCAGTGCAGGTAGAACCCTTGTATTTAAAGTCGCGATGTGTTAACTCAAAAAGTTGATCTTTACTTCAGTGGGTCCATTGCGCTTCGCGTGCGTGGTATAACGTCAGTGAATTATAGAATAATCCTTTGAGTCAGTTAATTCTTGCCGTAAGCTCAGATGGATCAGTTGCTGCACATTTACGTGTACATTCGAAAGAATACGGATGCATTTTATGAATCATATGGACTAAAAGCATTGCAAACGCAATTGCAAGCGCACTCTGCCACCCGCTCGCCGCTGCAACTCGTCTGGGATTCCATCGCCGGGTGTCGCAAGGCTGTCTCTCAGTGGCCGTTGGCAGTGTAGTGTTTCTCGCTTGTGTTGTCGCAGGGCAGTCCCCACAGTCAACCCCACGCCACGCCGGTATCAGGTTTTCCCCTCGAGAAGTAGATTAAATCTCGTGCACTTCGCCGCCACGTCGCGGGCCTCCGATCGATAAACCACGCCCCCTACGACTGTGTCTCGCTGGCGTGCGGTGAGGCGGCGGCGGTGGCGACGGCCGAGGCGGCGGCGGACCCAGCTGGTGCACTGCGGCGCCCTCATCACGCAGGTGCACGTGCTGCGTTCGCAAACGTCGCATTCGAGATCGGAATTGGATAAATATAAACGCAGCCGTTTTTAAAGGAGAATTAGAAAATATCAACGAATACTTCTACTTAAAATTACTCTTGGAGACAGTCGTGCAACTTAAACAAAACAATATTTAACACAACCAATAAGATTTTCCTCCCAAAGATCTGCCCGTGAAAGCAGCATGTATTATTTTTGTTAGATGTTTGAGTTTCGCCTTGTTAGACGTTTCGACCAACATATCGCGGTCTTCTTCAGGGTTGTAGTGCATTACAGAATTCGACGCGTCCCCGGACAGCTCATATCATCATTGAGGACATTTTAAAATATAAAAGTCTAACATATTCTAAATATTTGCTGCTGCGATGCAGATTGTGAGTTACCTTCGCTAAACTGAAGGGATTGGGCCAGTAACAAGATAATCCACACCACGTCACAGGAAGCTTTGTTTGTGTAAATTGACGCAATTTTGTCTAAATTGACTCTTTTGAGGGGGGTGCTTTGCGCTTGGGAGTAATCCTCCACTAAAAATTGCGCTTTGGAGTAATCCTCCATTAACATTGTCATGTCTCGTCGCTGTCAGTTGTCAAGAAGACCGCCAGGTAGCATCTCCGCGTACGCGCCTCTTCCACCACGCGCTCCTGCATCCTACTCAACGGCCAGAATTGAGGACTTAGGATAGGGAAGGATTTAGGACGCTTCACAGGGATTAGAATAGCCATTATGAATCAAGCAAACTCGTTTTGTTGGAGCAAATTTCATATGAGCTTGTCCGGGAATTAGCGAAAAATGATCCCGGACTTCATTGGTGAAAGGGGACCGACTTCGCTTTGGGCCACGAGCACCACTCGTAAATTGTTAATATCTCTATTTTGTGTAATGTGTGGTTGATATCGTTAACATACTAAGTGTATTGTTAGTACAGTGTCTAAAGGACTCGGAGAAATAACAAGATGGGTCACTCTGGGTTAAAATAAAGATATTAACATTTAAGAATATTGATTGATTTTCTGTGACTAATATGGATTATCATATTATTGCTCTAAGCCTTCAATTGCTTTCATTTTGCATCTAAATGGATTTAGAAAGAGCCTTGCAGAATTGACAAGTGTGTGAACCTAAATCTTGATATGTTATTTCCGTTTTTTATAAAGTAAGATAAGCTGCATGCAAGAAAATTCATAAAAACCAGTATTTTGCCAGGTACATGTGGTTAGGTAAAGGCCAGGACGATAGAATCCTTCCCGAAATCAAGCTAATGGTGCTACAAAATCAAATACTTTATTGACTTATTTGTTACGTTATTTGTAACGAAAATTGAGAGGGTTCGACGAAAATGGAACCTATGTCATTTTTATAAGCTATTCCAAAAATAACTGTAACTGTTTGGGGGTAAATCATTTTTTAATTGTCTTCATTTCAAGCAAACATTTCGTGAAAACTACGCCTACATAAAACATGTACACGGCCGTATTTAAATATCTACTTTTTAGAAGAGATTTCGTTAAGCAAAAGAATCTCTATCAAGTCAATTTTGTAATTTGGCAGTGCTAATCTTTACTTTTTTCTACCGCTTACGCAGTAGAGAGAAATTTACGTCATGCTTCACAAGGTTCACTTCACAAGGTTCACATCAGAAGTTGATCCTGTTTTTTTCAAGAATTGGAGAATACCTGTAGATTTGTGGCGAATGGTATGACGAGAATTATCCATCATTTTCCTTCTTATGAAAGAGAAGTAACTAAATTTGAGCTGTGTAATTTGTAGGTCTTGTATCTGTAACGTCCAGTAAGCTTGTAAAGCCATTTGTACAAACCACATTTTCTCTATAATCAAAATTTTGTGCTATTGTTGTGCTTTTCAAATATCCAAAACTTAATTATTTTGCTCCAACGGTTCAAAAAATCGGTGGCTTTGCTGGCTTAATGTTAAGCTGGCAAAGCCAGTTAAAAAAAATTCCGTTACAAACTATTGTGCTATTTTTGTGCTTTTCAAATATATAAACATTTATTTTTCTGCTCTTGTCATTTTTCAAAAGTTTAAAAAAAGCGACTTCTCGAAATCCCAGTCAGCCTCAATACCAACGTGTATGCAAAGAACTTGTAGAAAAAAGAAACTATCAAGCGAAATTAAATTTTCTCGACGCAAAAATAACAACAAAATTACTACACAACAATATTGTTTTGCATTTTTGACATTTTATATTACCCACAAATAATTATATTTCCTTAGACTACTGTCCAGAAACACGTTTTGAGATACATAATTTCTCATAAAACTAAACTGTTCGACAAGATGCACAGTGCAATCACAACCAAATGCCAATCTAATAAACTTCACTAACACTGATTTTTTGCTCTTGCCCTTTTTTCGAAAGTTCAACAAACTCACATACGAGAGGACTGAACTAGCGCACCACCGGCAAATAAGGAAAACCCTTTTGGAAGCAAAACTATCAATCAAAATTAAATTTTCTTCACACGAAATCATCTCCAATGAGGAGACGAATTCTAAAGTTTGTACATGTATTGTAAAATAAATCAATAAATAAATTCCATTTTTAAAAAAATGCCAACTGAATATGTTTAAAAGTAAAGTTTATTATTATGTATAAGAGAGCAAATAATATTTTTGTGAAATTTCCTGCACAATGCTGAATTATCGTTTATCTTTGTAGCAGGTTTCAGCGCCAGAACCAGACATTACTTCGGAGGTGTCGCTCACGGAAGACATTCAAGTGGAAACGATAATGTTACAAGAAGCACTTCCAATTGACGAAGTAAGTGAACTTCATTTTTCTTTGTATCATTTTCATGTAAATCAGATTTCTGACTATTGAAGTGGTGCAACTGTCAAAATATTTTTTAACCTTTTTCTCAATTGTCATCTTCTCTGGAAGATTGTTTCATGGAGGCATGTGACGATAGCAAAGCATAAAGTGACAAAGATATGATATGATTTCTTGCATTTTTATTTTCTTCAAAAAGCAGAAAAATCTTCTATGAGACGTATGGGGGAAAAGTAGAGCGAGCTCCAGAATCTCTTCTCACCTTTTACTTACACATAGTTGAGTGATGAATCCGAATATCAACAAAGCAAGGTTAACAACATTTGAAAAATTGACATTTTCGTTCTCGACTCTTGGAAAACTTATTTGCATCAGTGAAAGAATCACAGATATGATTTCTTAGCATTGCTCGCAAAATATAAGGTGTGCCCAAATGAAAAGGAGACCGTAGCCATAGCGGCGTTTTGCCAACTTTCCATAAGTGTACGTGGTAGCCGATAGATGGTTCGGATTTTTTCCCCTATTGCTCAGGTGAAGAGAAGGACGTCGCTGCGATTGCCTCGGTTCGGTCGAGTTGTTTCCTCAGTTCCTTGCGTGATGGATGCCTCCGGTGCAGCACAAAGAGCAGTGATACAATTTACTCGCCCATAAGGACAGTATGCGTCCTAAATTTATTGCATGATGCACGAGGTGTTTGGCGAGCGGAGTCTCGTGCGGTGTACCGTATTCCAGTGGAGGCAGTGTTATGCGGCGGGACGCGTCAACATCAAGGACTTGCCACGCTCGGGGCAGGTGCACATTGTAACCAACGAACCACGATTGCGGCTGTGGATGAGCTCATACGGCAGAATCGTCGGATCACCACACGTGAAACTGCTGTTGGCGAACGGTGCTTCACATTTTCCACACAAACCTGGGGTGTCCAAGAAGACCCTCGTGCTCCTTACGAAGTTTTGCTAGGAGGTCCTTTAAGATCAGAGCCCCGGTATCTCCCCATGCGACTCCCATATATTCGGCCCCTTTAAAAATCGATTTTGAAAGATCAGTAATTCACCTCCGACCTGCAAGCCACCGTGGAACAGTGGATCCGTCAACAATTGAACAACAAGTTTTTACATGGAAGTAATCTCCACACATAAGTGTATCAACGTAATGGTTATTATTTATAGGTGTACTGTTCCAAATGATATATAATTTCCCTGTTGGCATTAAAGTTTCCATAACGCTGTGGACTCCTTTTCATGTGGGCATACCTTATAGACACCAATACACCCGGCTGAACTCCTACCACAATTAGAATCTAGTGGTGCTAAAACAGCACGTACTTTCTCCCCCGTATTTTCACGCAAAATCACACGAAAAGTACTCAAATGTTCCAAAATTATACATGACTTTATTTCAAAATCTATATTTAAGTACCATATTTCATGAAGGAAAAATCTCTATTTTTAGTATTTTAGTTGCAGGAAGACTGAAAAAAATTGAAAAATAATTTTTCGAAAAATAAAGTTTCTTAACGATCATGTGACCTGCACCATTCTCTTAAATGTCCTTCACACTATTCAACAAAAAAATCAAAAACGATGGAGCCATTTTCTTGAAAATTTGGAAAATGTCTTTGTAACATGGAAAATGTCATGTAAAGTAACCCTCAAAATTAAAATATCGGTTTCAAATTCAAGCGGGCGTGTCGTCAGTCAGATTAATTGGGGGATATCAAGGGAACTTAGAGCTTGTCCCGGCTAGAGCGGTGCCTCTCTGGTGGGAGATACCTGGTTGGCGAAATCCACGCTACCCGACGTTAGATCATAAAGACGCTAACCGACGGTACATAAACAAAATAATTCAACGAGTTGCATGAAGGGTGATTGCAACAGTTTTTCTTTCATTTAGTATTAATTTGTTACTACGAAAGCAATTTCAAATCGTACTATTTATTGTTTCTTTTTTACAAAGAATATTCTTGACATCAGCAAGCTGTACTAGACTAGGACATTTGTTCACAGAAGTGTCAAAGAATTGGAAAGATAAGTAAATTATGTTGTTTTTTTCAGTGCGGTATTTCTACTCTTTACAATAAATGTTTAAGGTACGAGGATATCCAATTAAAGCAGTTCCATGAATTCCGCATGAAGGGAAATTAAGAGCAAAATATTATGATTAACAACGTCAAAAGCTTTCAAAAGGTATAAAAATACAAGCGCTTCTTTTTTATCCATTGATGAAGCAACATCATTAAGAAAAGAAGAAGTGGCTTTTCCGTAGATATCGATTTTCTAAATCCACGTTGAAAGTCTGAAAGATGAGTCCGCTTCGTGTCTTCCTAAAAAAAAGTTTCCATTCATATATACAAATGTCTCCGAAATACTTTGGAGAAAACTGACCAAAGAGAAATTGTCTGATAATTTTGAACTTCGTTGTTACGTGTTACCTTTTTTAAGAAGTGAGTACAATTTTTGCTATTTTGAAAATATTTGGAAGTATTCCTGTCCAGAATGAAGCGTTGAAAATGTATGTTATCGGGTGTATAGAGCCAGGCGCAAAAGTTCTTAATAAACAATCCAGAAATTCATGTGAATGAGAAAATATTAATTTTTTTTAGTTTACTAAATATCTGACGATTTCTCTGAAAGTAGTTTCGGAAACTAACACCATGTCGCATTTTGGAGGAAATGTACGATATTGAATTTTGTGTTTTTAATCCCTTCGTTAGATTGAACGCAATTCTCAAAAAGTGATGGTTGAAGAGACATAACTTTTGCCCGGTCGCTTGTCTTTCTGTAATTATATTCTAAAACAACATTCTCTACAAAGTTTCAGGATGATGTGAACGTATTTTCTACGATATTCCACGATGTTGATAGTAGCGTCCAAAACACCCTATTTTTTTCTTTATTTTTGTCTGTTCTATTCCTTCTCCTAAAATTATTTTGTATTTTCGGAAGTAGTCAGGGAAACTGGGTGATATGTTGCGATGTTTAGAAATAAAGTGAACAGTACGTTTGGTTTTACACGATGTTGTAATTTCGTGTGCTATCAGAGTATTGCCTGAAGAGTATAATTTTATTTCTTTAAGAGCGCTTAAAGTGATATGAAAGCTTTAAGAAAAATAAATTATATTTATCATTTATACCTGTAGCATTAGGGAGCATTCCGTGATTCCTACAGAAAGTAGTTCGTTAATAATGATGTTGTAGCTCAAGTAAAATAATGTACACATGCGTGTATTATTCAATATGACAGGGTTCATGTTGCGGGAAATTGTAATAATCAGCGCATCGGGGCCACTATAAACAAGGCCATTCTTTTTCATATCTAATTGTGAATTTTTTAATTATGATTTTGATATGTTGATTTTTTAGCTATATTCCGTGTAGGTATTCGCTGTAACTCATAAATTCATCTGGTGATACTACAACAGCATATACTTTATCGTATTATTTGTAATGGCTACTCAAGTACTTTATCACGATATTCACGTTACACTACGAGATTTTTTCGTTAATGAAATCTATTCTTTAAAACCGGTTCTTTAAATAATCTAAATGGAAATCTCTATTTGTTTTAAAAATTGCTATTACAAATGTTCAACATTTTTTAGTGTCGAGAATGTAGAGTTCTGTTGTTGGTGTAGGGGTAACGTTACTGAAATGTTAGTTCTAAAGACTTTCGAATTTCAGCGCGGAGAAAAACATTCCTGGTTGGAAAGATACATCCGGTTAATGTATATTTATAATATTGCATAGCCGGTTCAAATAATGCGAGAAAGTATGTGCTTTTGTAGTATCACTAGATGAATTTATGAATTACAGCGAATACCTACAAACCTTTTGTTTTTGAAAGAGTTAAGGGTTATTATTTTTTTATTTACGTCAGAAACAGTTAAAATTGTGTGTGAGATGCTATGGGAAGAAGTTACATTACAGTGTTAGCCGTTCTTTCCTGTTAATCATTCTGCAATATGCAAAAATGTTGAAAGTATATTACTTATGTAGTAAAATTATATTACTATTATTATTTTGATTTTCACAATCAGGCTCCTATTAAGATCTGGTTCCCAAATAATGAGTATGCCTATTTGCTGTTAATTATCTAATTGTAGGAATGTTCGCATAATTAGCTGAACTAGTTGCCTGAAACAGAAAGGCTGCGCAACTACTGAGCTACATTTTCAACATTCTAATAAAAGAAAACTCCATTTGCAATTTCTTGGTGTGTTCGCATTACCAAAACAGACATTTGAACTACGAAACATAATGCACTCGTACCCCGATTTTCTGTATCCCGTTCTTCGCTTTCATTCACCGATCTCGCGGCATCAGAAATCAATTCTTAAACGGTAGAATTATAAGGATAAGATCCATTATTTTATATACAATTAACTGATTTTTTATATTTAAAAATTGTTAATTTTGTTGACTGATCTTGCTTATGCATTTTACAGGTTATGGTAAAAAATTGTAGATGTTCCAATTTAGCTTTACGATTTCAAAGTTACTTTCATTTAAACATTTTAATTCATTCGATTATCAAAATGGGAAATTATTTACTCGTCCGGTTTTCTTAAAAAATAGTTTCTTAATCCCCAAGTCTGAGCCATTATAATATATGGCTCTCATCCTTTTCTGCGTCGCTCGTACGTCGAAACGCGTCTCGCTCCGCAGCCCACGCCAGCGCTTACAGCGCCCGCAGCCTCACCCTTTCGGCTCTAGGATATCTAAAAATATAACCGAGGGAGTCGACACGGCTGCAGTGACTCATGCTAGCTGACAACATGCAGCTTCTCTGGCACTTCTGATGTTACTACGCTTTTCTCTCACAGTATTGCCGGGGACATATGCATCAGAGGTCATTGTGTTCTCGAGAACAACCCGAAATGAAGATATTAAATTGGGACTGACAATGCTTGCACACCCACTTATTCAAAATCCAAAATATTTTACGGTCGAATCGAGTGAATTTTGGGCACCGTTAGGCCACTTTAAAATTTA